TAGTCATTCTAGCCATTGCGTTTAATGCTGCTCGACTCTGCCACGGATCATTATCTACGTATCCGATGATACGGTCAAATCGAGCGTCAACAAGTATACGAGGCTGGGACGGAACCTCGTTGTTGTCAGAAAGGACGCATTGGCGCATGAGCTCGATAAAACCGAGCCCACGATCAGTGAAAAGCGTAGCCCGATTAAGTTCAGGACAGTCGGCCTTGCTTGCAAGAAATGTCGCATAATCAAAAGATTTTTCAACTGCAGCGAACGCTGCGAGAAAGTGTTTTTCCTGGTCCTCCGGTGATAGAGTCGTCCAGTCTTGCTCGAAATCCTCATCAACTAGGAAACGCACAAAAAGGCGCGAGTGGTCGAGCTGAGAGGAAGCGGTGACGCGACGAGCAGAAACCACTTCGAGTATAAAATCTTCGTTGCAAAGTTCGTCGTAGAAGTCGCGCGGCTGATCGCGATGAGGATGGAACGGTAGAGGATTTTGTGGATTGTACCGCTCAAGTGTTTGTTGGTCGAGGGCGATCCACCATCCTTCGGGATCCTCTTCAATTGTTGGCCGGCCCACTGGACTGAACACAGACGAATACATCGACTGCAACATATCTAATGCGATCACGCGCGATGGTGGAAGTCGTCGATAAGATTGAACAAACAAGACAAAATAAACGCCCACTTCCCACACCCACAGAACTTTGCTTCTCTGCAACTTTGCGGAGCAACATTTGAACAACTGACATCCTGTGCTTGGTCGCATAATCCTCCATGAATGTCACCTCCCGATGGCCGATGGCGTGTTCTTAACGGATGATCTGTAGTGTTTGGTACAGGTCACCAATGTTTCTGTTATGAGAGGTCGCATCTCGTATGCCGGTTATTCCAACTCAAGCGACATCTGTACAGGTGATTTCAATGTTATTCTCGTTCTAACAACGCAACCTTACCTGGGTTCAAGCTGTCAAATTGGCGTTTGACTCATGCAGAAAGTATTATTAGCACTTGACGCCAAACTAGAAGGACTGGGACTCTGATGTTTCCCCAGAGAACGATGTGACTCCAGGAACCCCGTTTTAGCGAATGACGCCACAGTTCAAATGACACGCCACATTCCAATGCCTACGGCCCGGGACGGACGACAGGATTACACAGGACCCTGGATAATACACTGACATCGTTGATCCCGAATTTCCCAAAATTTCGTCCTCATGTCCGACAGGCTTGAGCCTTCCGTGTCCGACTTTTCCTCAAGGTTCGGGCCCAAAAATCGCTTCATGTCCGACTTTGGCATGAGGGTTCCGCCCAAAATTTCCCGTCAGATGGACCCTTTTCAGATTTTTCCGGGCTGTCTACAACAAGTTTCGATCGCCTGAGCCACCCGAACCGCAAGGCCTCCCGCTGGAAGAGTTTCCGCTGAGCCAACAGCTACATCCTGGGAGCGCTCAATAGTGGCCGACACCATGTCCGACACCCAGCTGACACCTGGATGAGGGTCTCTCACCCATCTCGCCCCATGTCCGTACACTGGATGAGGGTAGGCGGTGCGGAAAGAGCTCCATGTCCGACTTTTCCTCCAGGTTTTGGACAAATTTTGCGTTCCATGTCCGACTTTGGGATCAACGATGTCACTGTATTATCCAGGGTCCTGATTACACAGCCTCGGTACAGAATTTCCTCCGAGTACATGATTTCTGTATTCTCTCTGACTCGTTTCCAGCAACGACCCTTCTGAAGGCGGCGATCTACAGGCACTATCATGCATTTCGTCCCCGATATAGCTCAATTCCGACCTGATTTGGAGTCGTCCGACGCTACTCCGACGCTGATACGATTCCCGAAGCCGGGAAGACGCGAATTTCTAGGCGCTCTGTGTCATGATCTCAGGGCTATCACGACTGTTTATAAGCCATGAATGACTTACCCTTGAACATATAAAATGGCAACGTAAAGTCAATCAATCTCTCGTCTGTCTTGAAATCACAGTATGCGTCCCAACGCCTTTGCAGTCGTTTTACAGATCGCGCTTATTCGCAGAGCTGCATGCCTTCCCCCGGTGGTGACGTTGGACCAGGCCATCGTGAAAGGAACAGCGAACGGAACGATCCACAAGTTTCTCGGAATACCTTTCGCGCAGGCTCCGTAATACCTTTTCTTTCTGTCATGTCGTAGTCCCTGGTCTCACAAGCATCTATAGAACAGGTGATCTTCGCTTCCGACTTCCCCAACCCGTCGACGCGTACACGGGAGTCCTCAACGCGACTGCGTTTGGACCCGAATGTCCACAGCAGTCTGGAACGCCAGCAAATACAGATGGTCTTCCGCCGGACGTAGTGGCCGCTATCTCGTCTTTCAATCCACCGTTTCCTACAGACGAAGACTGTGAGCTGTTCATTACACACGTCTCGTCATGATCTAGCGTTGAAGCCGTTCTTCCAGGTTTATCAATCAACGTTGTCAAACCCGCTGACGCTAAGCCGTATCAAGGACTTCCCGTCGTAGTGGTATGATGTTCAAGTCATTCTGAGGCCTGATACTTTGTTCTCACTCTTACACAGTGGATTTATGGAGGTAGAGTCTTCCATTTAGTCCATGAACCGTGACCTGTATGTTTCTAAAGGTGTATTCGAGCTGGGAGGAGCTGCCGCGTATGCCAAATTCGATAGTGTTTGTCTACGCGATTTACTCAAGTTGATTCAACAGGTACGAAGGAGGCGTCGTTGTTAACCGCTCCATTGAAATGGGGGAGCCTATCATCTACGTGTCCATGAACTATCGTCTCTCTGGTAAGTCTTCGCCACGCACGTAGGAGCTGAACCTCATTCTCTTCCAGCATTTGGATTTTTGGCAAGCAAGGAGGTGAAAGAAGCCGGTGTGGGAAATCTCGGTTTACAGGACCGTATGTTGACCTCCCAACTTGACTTGCCGGCGTTTGCTTACCATGTTTCTTTTGTCAAGAGCGTTTAGCCTTACGATGGGTTCAAAAGTATATTCGCGCGTTTGGCGGTGATCCAGCAAAAGTGACAATGTAAGCCGACTTCTTCTTTCTCCGAAGGTTCAATGAAGATGACGTAGTTATATGTAGCTGGGGTCAATCTGCTGGAGCGGCGTCAGTTGCGTCGCAAATGATTACGAACAACGGAAACTCGGAAGGGCTCTTTCGCGGTGCATTTATGCAATCGGGGTCAGCGCTTCCCGTTGGCGACATCGAAAATGGCCAGCGATGTGAGTTCAGGTTCTTTGTTAGAAATGTTCTCATCGACATTTGTCTCCCATAGACTACGACGATATCGTGAACAGGACAGGATGCGCTGGTTCAAACGATACACTAGCATGTCTTAGGACAGTCCCTTACGAGAGTCTGAAGGCAGCCGCTGATGCCACTCCTTTCCTTTTCGACTACCAGGTGACAGTACCGCGATATTCGCGACTCAGAGAGCGCTAACTAAAGTATAGGGCTTGTTTTAGCGTGGATGCCTCGCACTGATGGTGTGTTTTTGACGGATAATGCGCAACGCCTGGTACAACAGGGGAAAATTGACAATATACCTGTTGTCAGCGGTACGTCGTTCTCTCGCTGCTTTCGTGAATTATGCCAAGCGACGTTCTTACAGGCGACTGCGATGACGAAGGCACACTGTTCTCGTTGTCCCAACGGAACGTTACGTGAGTTCTTGTCCTGAGAATTCTAGAGCTGGAGCTTAACCTCGTTAGCACCGACGCCGATATGAAGGACTATCTGCAGACCGTTATGTTTCCTCTCGCGCCTGAGGACGGTATTGATCAACTTTTGGATCTGTATCCTGCATCGCTTGAGGATGGATCGCCGTTTAACACTGGGGACGCGAATGCCCTGACGCCTCAATTCAAACGTCTCGCTGCTTTCCAAGGAGATTTCCTCTTCCAAGGTCCTCGCAGATTCTTCCTCTCTGCGATGTCGGGTAAACAGGACATTTACAGCTATGGTAAGTATAGGTTGTCGTCTTCGTGCCGACTGTCTCACCTTGTTCGCAGCGTACAGACGTTTGAAGCAAACACCCTTCTTGGGTTCTTTCCACGGCAGCGATCTTTCGTTAAATACGTTTGCGGCGGGCGGTGGTGATTTGCAGGATTATCTTATTCGATTCGTCGCCAATTTGGACCCGAATGATGCCAGTACTAATATCACGTGGCCCAAGTGGACTGCTGAGTCGCCGCTAATGCTATCCTTCAATGACGGCGCAGTTGCACAGAATGTCACGGAGGATACCTATAGAGAGGAGGCTATTGATACTTTGAACGCCTTTTTGTTTGAAAACCCCATGTGAGGGATGCAATAATTTTTGTTTATACTACTTCTCGTTGAAATATCAATACGGTGATGCGCTCCTAGCTCTATCACTGTCTTCCCGGTCCCCTTGCATTCTAGTCTTGAATCAGCCGTTTTTCTTGAGAGGATGAGGACACTTCACCAATGATCCGATCGGCTTGGTGGAGCGACTGGTGTCGAGTATAAACGGTATGGATGTTCTTGCCTTCAGCACATACTCGCCCCCGTCACCGTACGGTTGTGGCGTGCTTTGTGGTGAATTTCTTGCACTAGTGGTGAGTGTACTCTGGAGGGCTCAGGCTGCTCCGGGAGATAGGGTGGTGAAGTAAACCCTAGGTTTTGACACACCTCGGGTTTACTGCGGTAAATAACGGTATTGATACAGTATTGGAACCCTCGGGGGTCAGGAGGGAGGTTTCAATACCGGCACGTGACTGGTGCACGTGCCGGCGCGCTGGCGCTTAGAGATCCTGGAGGTGGCGGGAGTAAGGCGGGATGAAGGCGGCGGGGCGCGGCGCCACATCACGTGTCCGAAACACATGCCGGTATCGAAACCGTTAGTAACGGTTTCAAAACCTGAGCCTCCTGGCGGGTCGGTATCGATACCGTTACTAACACCCCCGGGAGGTTTACTGCGCCACCCTACCGGGAGACGAGAAGAAGTATACTTCGGAGGTCATCCACAGAAAAAGCTTGACAAGAGTGGGACTTGAACCCACGCCTCCATACGGAGATGAGAAACCTGAACCAGGCAAGCTGGTACGCTTGAGTCACACGCCTTAACCGCTCGGCCATCTTGCCTTGTGATTGAGGGAGGGGTGACTATTACTATCGCTACACCGCGCTACGCCACAATCTGGACATGTCACGCTGTGGCGTAGTTGAGGCATCAACTGGCCTCATTTAGAGGCTCAAAGCATCGAGTAAGGAACTCGACAGATCTGGTTGTTGAACCTGAAGAACGCTCAAGAGGAAAGGCTGACTGGATTCACGTGTAAGACTTTTCCGGTCCGCTGTGCCGAAGGATTCTGACCGGGAACGAGGCTGCTTTCAATTACCATGCCAGTGACGAGCGCAAGCCCTGCGCCCATCGGCGCATTCGACGATGACGACGAGGAGGGCTGGCAAGAGATGCCCGTCGTCCACGAAGACGAGTTCAAGGGCGGGTTCGACGAGGAGGACCAGAAGAAATACCACTACCAGCCTTCGGCCAAGGGCGCTGGCGCTGCCAACGCTACGGGCAATCTCATCGATGTCGACGACTATGGCAACGAATGGCGCTCAAAGCTGGACAACAACGAGAATGATTATACTCGGTTGCGGGTGAACGAGGAGGACGAGAACGACGAGGTGCACATGCGCACGAGATACCTGTTCGACGAGGACAAGGCGATGACACCACTAAGCCAGATGCAGGCGACGAAGAATCTGCTTACAGAGGCGCAGCGCATTGCGTACGTCGGACTGTGCTCGTTGACTAGTCGGGAAATGGAGCAGCGGTTGCAGTCAGCGCATCGCAAGGAGCTCAAGTCTGCACTGGCGAATATGGATCTCTGGCGGATGAAGATCATGGGTCGGCTATACTACCACATGGAGCTCGAGACTCAAGGTAATGTCCCTCGTCATTGCCTGCCGTCCCGCTAACCGACCGATGAGGCAGAACAGAAGATGATTGATTCCCTCGGCGAGCATGGTGTCCTCCCCATGGATCTCGTTCCCGCACTCATGACTACTCACACCGTAGCCAATCCAGAGTACGATCCAACACAAGCACAGCATCGTGCAGCCGACAACGAGTCCGACGATGAACACACATTAGTCTCGACACCGATCCCCACTACTCCCGTAACACCAAATCCAAATAGAGCATTTCAGACAACTGCACAGGTGCTTCAGGACACCACGACTTCTATCCCTGGCGTGTCCACTACTTTATCCACTGCAGACGAGAACGTTACTTTGGATATACGTTGGACAGTGCTCTGCGACCTCTTCCTCATTCTTATCGCCGATAGCGTCTACGATGCTCGCTCGCGCGTCTTGCTCGAAGAAGTCGCCATGAAGCTTGGTCTCGGATGGGTCGATGTTGTCCGTTTCGAATCCCGCGTTACCGAAGCGCTCGAGATCCAAGAGGATGTCGAGCGGATGGAAAACGAGGACATTATCGAAGGCCGTAAAAAGTCTGCCAAGAAGAAACGCTACATGATGCTTGGACTCGCCACACTTGGTGGTGGACTGGTCATCGGCCTCTCAGCAGGATTACTCGCCCCAGTGATTGGCGCAGGGCTTGGGGCGGCATTTACCACTATTGGTATCACCGGTACCACGGGCTTTCTAGCAGGCGCCGGTGGCGCGGCGGTCATTACGACGGGCGGCGTTCTTACCGGGTCGGGCATCGCTGTGAAGGGTATGATTAATCGCACACAGCAGGTTCGAACATTCAATCTGTTGCCGTTGCACAATAACAAGAGGGTCAACTGCATTATCACGGTTCCTGGGTGCGTAACTCGTTCAAGACGACGTTTGGGCTACTTACTTTGGCAAAGATTCTTGAATGGTGTTCAAGACGACCCAAGATTACCCTTCAGTGTCTTGGATCCTATTGTGGGTGACGTGTTCAGCGTGCTCTGGGAGCCAGAGATGATTCGTGAGACGGGTAGCGCGCTTAAGATTCTGACGGGTGAAGTCCTGACCCAGCTCGGAACTACTGTGCTACAAGCCACCGTCATGACTGCGTTGATGAGTGCACTGCAGTGGCCCATTGGTACGAGCATCACCTCCTCCAGAATGCTCATGCTGATGTGTCACAGTTCTCACAAAACTTGGTTATCTCATCGACAACCCTTGGAATAACGCGCTTGATCGTGCGAGAGCTGCTGGGGCTGTTTTGGCTGACGTTCTCATTCAACGTCACCTCGGTGTGCGCCCTATAACGCTCATCGGGTTCTCCCTTGGCGCACGAGTCATATTCTACGCTCTAATTGAACTTGCGAAACAAAAGGCCTTCGGTATTGTCCAAGACGTGTTCATACTTGGTGCTACCCTCTCTGTATCGCAGCAGATGTGGCTTCAGACTCGCAGTGTAGTTTCGGGGCGCTACGTTAACGCTTTTGCGCGGAACGATTGGGTATTGAACTATCTGTTCCGGGCAACAAGTGGCGGGGTGGGTACAGTGGCAGGACTGCGACCCATATTAGGCGTACCGGGTTTGGAGAATGTAGACGTGACGGATAAGATTGCAGGCCATATGAGTTACAGGACCTTTATGCCCCTCATCTTGGATCAACTTGGTTTCCCTGTATTTTCAGATTATTTCGATGAACCGGAGGTATGTTTGCATGCAGCGCTTCAGAAACAAATGCTAATTTGGGTTTAGGAACCTGACTTTGAGGAGGATAGAATCGTGGTTAGGGAAGACGATATTAAGCAGAAAAAAGGGTGGTTCTCGAGGAAGACGAGCGGTACTCAGACGCCGGTGTCGAGACCACCGTCAGCGTCGACATATGCCAAGAAACCGCCCTCTTCTACCAAAGGAACCGACGACGATGAGTTACCACCACGCCTCAGCTCTTCCACCCCGACGGCCACTCCGCCGACATCGCCACACAAAGAAGGCCACACATCTACTCCCTCGGATCCTGAGATCAAGATCCCAAAGACCGCTGGTTTTGATCTTGCGGCTATGAAGGAGATAATCGGGAGTGCGGGGAAGGAGCCCCAAGTGGTCCGCGCGCTTTCGCCGGTTCCGCTGCCTCCACCGTCGAATAGGACGGAATCGATGCCGCAGGTGCCTCAAGTGCGGAGGAGTCCTTCGCCCATGGCGGGGCCTAGTACGCCAAAGAAGGAGCTGCCGGATAGCTTTGCGCGGTCGATGACGTTGGAGGATGATGAGGATGTGGATCATCGGAGGTCGCCTAAACCACCGTCCTCTCCATATTCAAATCCGATAGCTAGTGCCAGTTCTACAACGACGACGAGCGATAGCTGGGGCGAGCCAGCACCGCGCGGCGGGTTTGGGTACGCGCCATTTGGGGCGTCTTCGTCGTCGCTGGCGCAGAATCCGTTTTCGAATGATCCTGTGCCCAAGTCGTCCGGGTTCGCGTATTCGTCGCCGTTCGGGGGCTCTGCGGCATCGTTGGCGGGGAATCCGTTTGGGGGCTCTACAGCTTCGTTGGCTGGGAATCCGTTCGCTGGGGGGCGATCATTTAGTTCGCCATTGCCGCCACCACCACCGCCACAGTCAGGTGGGTTGTCGTTTGGGGGCATGGATGGGAGTATTACGAGTGTGGGTGTTGATGATCCGTGGGCAGCGCCGAACGATTTCGGGCGGAAGAGGAATGGGAATGAATGGGTTTGGGGGTAATCCATGGTCGTGAGACGGACTATATTGGATTGGATCTTTGGTTACTTTTTGTCATTCTTTGCAAGGCATTATTATCTTTACAATGATATGGCGTGTGTGTATGGGTTGGAATTCGTGCCAATGTTTTTATCATTCAGGCTGAGATATACTCAGAGAGGTATGGATACTACATGAAAGCATGGATGTATGGCTACCTAGCGCAATGGTAGCGCGTTTGGCTTCGATTACCAGACGGCGACCAAAAGGTTGCAGGTTCGAGTCCTGCGGTGGTCAGTACACATGAATTGTCGCTTTTTGCCGGAAATTGTTGTTGGTTGAAACTTGATCAATGATCAATAACTAGGACGCCACACTTCCAAGCCATCATGATTCATCAATCAGGCCCAGGTGGCCGATCGCGACTTGAGCTGTAATCACTACGAAATTGAGGCTGAATGAAGTGCTTCGACGGAAAAGCCTGCTGAATCATTGAATAGTAAATACCACACATTCATACTTCCAGAGCGTTGTTATTTGTTTGTTACTTCTTCTCGACGTCTGCTCGCTAATTGTGAGCCTGACGTGGTGTATGCAATGCCCCCCCCCCTCAAGGTATTGCGTCTTGAATCAAACCTTTAAACAGCAAAATTACGTGCCGGCGGCAAAGCCGCACTTGCAATTACCGCCATTTTCAGTATCAATGCGTTTACAGTCTCGCCCACGGA